ATAATAATAGGTCAAAACACAGGCAGCCCAGTGAAATAAAACAACTACTTGCTGCATAACCTTTCACTGATTTAAAGGAATTTCTGCACAGCACAAAAAGTCAAAACGGAAATCTTGACAGGAACACTAAATATATTGTAAACTTTTTGTTACAACAGGGACATAAATGTTACCTGAATTTAGAATATTATCCTAAATTTACATTTACACAAGTCATCCAGAAAATTAATTGCACATAAAATAGCTTTATAATATATTTTATGGTAGATGATGCCCTAGAGCATTAGTAAATGGAAGTTCATGTCATACTTTATGAAGTGAACTGCTTGTTATAATGAGCTTTCTTCACTGCTCCACAAATGATTATATCAATATTTCTCTCATAACACATCTCCACTGAACCTTTATTTCTTAACCTGCAAAGGACAAAGATGCACAGATACATTTCTTCCATTAAATTCTCTCTCTTCAGGATGAAGATTGATTTTTGCACTGTTTTCTGCCCATACCTGGTCGAGCCAGACGTATCAGAGATATGTAAACGTCATGGCAGTCTCGTTCCTGAGGGATCACCAGCTGGATGACCTGGAAGTTCTTGCAGCGGATCAGTAATGGGCATCCAGTGGCAGTTGTGGCTTGCTTCTCAATAGAGGAAATTTGACTGTGGAGAACCTGAGGGGAATTGAAAAGAGTTTTGTTAGTCAAATCTTTAAGAAGAAAAGTAATTATTTATGATGTGTCAGGGCAGGCACAGTAGCTTCCACTACTGTTTCAGAAAACCCTCACACTCCTCCTCTTGTAGTTTGGTTCCTATCTTCCAGCTTCAGGTTCAAGCAGCTTGATACATCACCTGCAGACAAAGAGGAATTTCTGGAGTGTTTCAGCTGCCCAAATATTAGCCTGCTCATGTTATCCAAAGCTTGTTGTTTGCTTTATTGTAAGCTAGTGGCTGTCAAAGCTCTTTTCATCTACTGGCACAGTGAAAAGATGAACCAGCACCAGTTACATAAGGCTAAAATATTGTGCCTCCTCATGGGTAGAATGGTAATGCTGATATAGTTTTAAACACTGCATCAAATCAGATGAAATATTACAATAAAAAATCTGGTAAGGAATAGTGGGATCAAAGGAAGATGGAGTTAATGCAAAAATGGACAAGGGGCGCATAATTAAGCTACATAAAAGATTTTCAAATGTATGACACTGGGCAAGAGCTGTACACATGTGCTGTTTTGGCTGGGATAGAGTTAATTTCCTTCACAGTGGCTGACATGGGGCTATGTTTTGGATTTGCACTGAAGACGGGGTTGATAATATAGAGATGGCGCTGTTATTGCTCACACAGAGCCAAGGCCTGCTGCAGTGCTGGCAAGAAAACAGAGTGCATGGGGGGCTGCAAGGAGACACAGCCAGGACAGGTGACCCCAGCTGACCAAAGAGATATTCCAGACCATATGGCATCATGATCAGTATGTAAAGTGGAAGGAAGCAGGAAGCAGAGCACATTTGGAATGATGACATCCACCTTTCCAAGTCACTGTTACTGTGATGGGGCCCTGCTCCCCTGGAGATGGCTGAACACCTGCATGCCCATGGGAAGCAGAGAATTCATTCCTTGTGTTGCTTTGCCTGTGTGTGTGCCTTTTGCTTTCCCTATTAAACTGTCTTTATCTTAGCCAATGAGTTTTGTACCTTTTACCCTTTAGCTTCTCTCCCTGATTCTGCTGGTTGGGGGAGTGAGCGAGTGGCTGCATGGGGCCTGGCCAATGGCTGGGGTTAAACCACAAAGAAATGCAATGTATGCTGTCAATCAATCAAAACAGTTAATTCAAAATACTTTATAAAAAATACTTTATAAAAAAAAATAAAGCATTAAACTAACAAAAACACTGATTCAACGCTAGCAGTAACAGAGAAAGCCAAGAATTGACAGAGCCAAGGAAGCAGTTCACATTCAAGGAATTTCTCTTTTTTTCTTCCTGGATGACAGGAGCAACAGTGCAGTTTACAGCAGCTGTTCCTCAGTCAATCACATCTGCTATTCATATAGTGAAGGCCCTTCTACTCCTCTTACTATACTGTAATATCTAGAATCCACTGAAAATTTTTGAAAATGGAACTTCACATGGCCTCATAAAAGCACCCATATGAACTAATTAGCTACTTTTAAAGTGATTTGGAAGTAATTTTCAAATTACCATCAGTAAAGTACTATGCACTTACAGCTAACTGAAATAGTAAAAATTCATACCCAGGTTTCTTTGCGAGTTTCAGAACCATTCTCCACAAATATGACATGGGTAGCTGTTAAATATAAGGTTCCCACCACAGCTCTTCTTGAAGATAAACGATCAAGTAACCTAACATTTTCCACCTATACAAAAAAGTGACAGAGGAAAAAGAAAAAGAAACAATTAGGCTATGACAGAAAGCTCAATAGTGAGAGATCAATGTTCACATTTTGTCTATTGTATCAAAGAAGTATAACCATATGAGAAAATGTCATCATATTATGTGATCTATTTCCAGATTTGCTTAATGTTCCTTTTTTCCCCTCTCTTGTGGTACCTCTGTATCCAAAAACCTGTTATTTAACACTTCTGAAGACAATTTCTCACTTGAGTTCTTCCCTGTGATCTCATCTTAGCAAGACCCTATGACAGGAAGGCAGGGCCTGTCCTTCAGCTAAACTCTAACTCCATTCAAGCAATTCCAGGTAAATTAAAATAGTAATAAGTAGGAGATAGTGGTGAAGTGTCTTTCTTCAATGGGTCTCAATCAGGCAAATTTTCTCCCATGCAAATCTCTGCTAAGATTTAAAAAAACGTTAAAAGAGTTTAAAAGAAACATTTTGACGTTGGTCCCTGCATTCCTGTTAGGGCTGACAGCAGAGGTCACCAAGTTTTTGCCTTCAGTAACTTTTCAATGGGACTCAAGAACTCCATTTCTACTGCTCTCCTACCTTGGGCACAAAATGGGTATTCTCCCTTTGTTGCACTCCTGACAATGGGAGAATCCATACCACGTTACTAGCTCTCAGATCAACAGCTTGTGACTTGTACATCATTAGTATTTTGTATATGGCATGTGCTATAGGCACCTATTAGGAACTAGATGACCTTTAAGGTCCCTTTGAACACAAATCATTCTAGGTTTCTTTGATTTCTGACTGAGAAACTAGAATAATAAAAAACTCAACAAGTTGGATAGTCAGTAGGATAAAACCTGCCCAAAACAGTTACCAATTTGCTACTATGGATTTGATGGATCTCCTACTACAACAGTCTTAAAACTAATATTAGTTGATTTTCCTGCAAAACATCTGAATGTCAGCATCTCAGAATTACATGTTTGCAATGCAGATTCCAAATACATTGCACTATTTTAAAAACAGTAGGAAAGAAAACCTTAAAATGAAAATAAGCCAGTTTAGGAGCAAAATGCTTAAAATCAAACAATTATTAAAGCAGAGTCATCTCCCTCAAGGCCAGTTATAATCTGTTTTAAACAAAAATAAAGCTATTCATTTAAATTCATTTAAACAAAAAAAAAAACCTGCTAGAAAGCATGGATGAAGTCTTTTCCCAGGGCCATCTACTTCAGAGGTCATGTATTGGCTTGAGAAGGAATGGAAGAAATACAGTATTAACCCAGAAAGCATTCAGCAGCAAGCAAAAGAGGAGGGATCACACAAAATAGAAATGAAGGCAGTGCCCTTCTGAAAGGAACCCATAAAACCAATAAAAATCAGCACTGTCTGGATGAAGAAAGGTCCCTACACTGCAGTCCAGCCAACAAGGCCTCTGCTGCCCAGGCACTGATCTTGCACAAGGCACTCATCACCCCCTCCAGGCAACAAAGTGAGCTATGGGCCATGAAACAAGCAAAGCAGGCACCCACACAGTGGGACAGGGCTGAGGGATGAATTTCCCCACTCATCAATCACAGCCCCATGACTGAAAAATGCTAACCAACAAAGCTCCTCTTTGGTTGTGGGTTTGTTTTTTGTTTTTGTTTTTGTTTTTTTTAATACAGAGCTACAAATAAATTAAAGGTTGGATCTGAATGAATAGGAACAGTTGCAGTAAGAGCTGTGTGGTAAGTCTGATTCCATCAAAGCAAATGCAGTGGCTGCACTGGGGAGATCAGAATTCACCTCTCCCTGCAGTTTGTCTCCCAAGAACAGACAGTAGCAGCAGCTAAGGGAAGAGTGTGAGAGGCAGGCATGTACTCATGCTCCCTTAGGATCTTAGCCCATCTCTGGGCCTTCCTAAGATGAGGTCACACTTTTTAATAGCCACAATGGTGCTTGCATTGCATTAATTTCATTAAATAACATTTTGCATATCTGTAATTTATTTGCATCCATAACACCCTGTGAGAGTGAACTTCCCATTTCAGCTATACATTGTACAATAAAGTCCCTTCCTCCTGCTCTTTTTGAATCTGTCACCAGTAATGTGCAACATATGCTGTTACAGGTCCTTCCCTCCATTCTCGTGTTCCAAGAGTGAAGAGCCCAACTTTACACAGTTGTGACCTTTATAGAAGCTATTCCAGACAAGCTCTTCCACACTTTTGATTATTCTGCGTGAGGTCTGCTTCCTGAGAAAAGGCCAAAAGTGCAAACAGAATTCAAAAGTTGGATGTACAACAGGTTTGTGTAGTTTGTGTAGAGGAATAGTGATGTTTGTTGTTTTGTTTTTTATTTAGTTTTTAAAAGTTCTCAAACATTGCTTGCTTTTTTGTCCTCTGCTGAACACAGTGGGGTTCGGGTTAGTTTTGAGGGGGTTTTTTTGTTTTGTTTTGTTTTAGAACTAGCAATTGTAACTCTTAGTCATGCCTGCATGCATAAGTAAAGATCTACCCCCTATGTCTATTATCTTATATTTATTAATGACAAATTTAGTCCATCAGTATAATGAGGCATTGCTTAATCTTAGATTCCATTCTGCTGATCAAAGGATTCAGAGAATGAGCCTTCTTTCTTCTTCTGCAGTCTCCCAGTCAGGAAAAGAAAACCATGTCCAGCAGTGTCTTTAAACCTAGAGAGTCTGGGAATAGAGGGGATCGGAATATGTTCATTTCCACAAGAGGGGAACACACATTGCAACAGTTATTTGGAAGAAGAGGAGTTTTTCTACCTAAAAAGTCACAGCATGCTGAGAAATCAGCATTAATGGCCAAAATTTGTATCAGAAAGAAATAATAATTATTTTTCTTTTTTTTCCTATTAAAAAAATGTTCCACTTTTTCACCAAAACAACTGTAGACTTTACTGGAGAATGTAGGAAATTATGTATGCACTGACACATGCCAGGAAAAAGCATAGAGACCATGCACATGTGCTTCACCTAAAATGAACAGCTGGTGTGAGAGATCAGATCTGAAAACACAAGTCTGTCAAGTTGAGAGCTGGAAGACCACAAGGAGTTAAAAGGAAAGCATTATCCAAGGAAGTCTAGAGAGGGGCATCTAAGTAAAACTTCAAAAAATTAAATAATTAATTTGAAACTCTTGACTATCTTTTTATTTTTTTTCTTCTTTTTTTTTTTTTTTCCTTTCCTGAAAACTGTGGTTGTCTAGGCCTAAAGAAAAGACCACCAGGAGATTTATTTCAATGACTATAATTGCTTACATGGAGATAAATAAAGTTGCCCAGAAAATCTATTTCCAATGCAACACAGATGACAGAAAAAAGGAGGCAAAAATAGAAGTTAAAGGGAACACAGATTAAGAACAGATGGAAGGCACTTTTTACTCAGCAAATAAACATGACAAATAACTTACAAGCAAGGTTGCCAGGAGGTTATTCAACAAAAAAAAATGTCATATTAGGGAAAATCATGGGCCAAAGTTTTATTCAGGCATAACTCCCACCAGTTTCAATGGGACTCCCACCTAAGGAAGAATGGCAAATACATGACCCTGAAAGCATTTGGAAAAGTTTGCGTGCCAAAATGTTATTCCTAAAAATATTCATGTACCCTAATTTGTTTTCATTTTTAGTTTAGATAACTTTTTTGAAAAGCTTTGACTGCATGACCTATTTTTTAATGCTTTTTTGAGTATGCTACTTTCATCCTCACTTCTTTAAGCTGTTTCAGTGTCTCCAAACATGTCAGCATCACAAAACAACACAGAAGTAACTGCTACTATTTCAGGGTGTTCACGGTTCCACATGGGAAAGCTTTTTCAGATAAATGCAGGATCCATCTGACTGCAGGCTCAGACTGAGCAGGGAAAGGAGAGACAAGCAAAACTGCAGGGCAGATTAGCCAGAACTGGAGCTTCCTGTCACAGCAAAGCTCAAGTGCAGCACAGACATGCTGTCTGATACCAAAAGGTCTTTACTGTAGGATTTTCCAATAAAATTAAATTTTGAATTATGAAAAAAAGAAATCTCAAAGGGCTTTTTCTCACTACATAGGTTTTAAGTCTATGTGTTTGCTTCCTATGCATTAGCTAACATGAAGTCAAAACACTTCAACAGCCAGTTCTGCCATGGTCATCACTGACCTGCCCATTATCACTGGACATCTTGAAGAAGCTGAAAAGCCCATTTGTCAGCCAAGAACAAAAGAGATCAGCTCCCATATCACCAAGAGCTCCCTGCTCCTTTAGGAGGATCCCTGACTAATTCGTCTCCTCTTAAGGCCTTATCCCAAGAAGGAGAAAGGCCAGAAAACCCTCCCAGCCAGGAGAAAGCTGCCAATTAAAGGTAAGCGGGGAATACCCTCACTCAGGCCACATCCTCAGGAGCTTCTCTACTCTTCACAGTTGAAATTCATTGCTCTACAACAAGCTGTGAAAGCAAGTTTCATGTTAAAGCTGATAAAGTACCTTGAAATTTGGCTGTACAAATGAGTTTCGGTGATTCTTGAAAGATAAAGAAAGGCAACTTTCACAAACCTCTCTGCTGCTGAAAAAGTTGACTCAAAGCCAAGGTTGGGCCCTAGAAGCACACACTTAGCCCTACAGAGGCTTCTTCTTGTCCATCCCCTTGGGCTCCTAGACTTAGCAGGGATTTCTGCTGCCTTCCCTATGCTCCTTATGAGGTTACACACATGAGTGAAAGCAAGAAGAAACTCCATCCTTCATGACAGGATTCTCACTGGCCTCAGCACTGCAGGCACACAAAAGCTAAGGGAAGAAATTGTGAAAGCCAAAAGCCTGAGTCTAATGAGAAAAAAGGAGCACAGCTGGTGTGGTTTGAGGCCAAGTGGAATATGTGAGCTTTCTTCACCCTGGTTGACCCCAGCCATCCATGTGTTTAACATAATTCCTGAGAGTGAAAAAAGACAACAAGTAGAAGACCAAATGCTATTACTTTTTTTCTCAGCACAAAGATAGTAGTGTTGTACTTGTTAAACAAAATATACAATAAGTGATCTTTTCTGCATGATCTTGGAGAAAGAATAAAAGAAAACTGAATTGCCAGTTGATGCTGCCTTTTCATGTGGTTTCTATTCTCTTTCATAAGAATCATAAAAAATGTACTTGACGCATGTTACTCTTTTATATTTCCCTCTCTGAAAAGATCTCCCAAGTGCAGTACAATAATGCACAGTCTATGAAGTTAGATGGTTGCATATGTCAAAAGACTCAAACAAAGCCAAAAGTTATTAAATTTAAGCAAAGACACCTTAAGATATGCATTGTAAAGTTTCCTCAGGGCAAATCTGTCAGGATGGGGAAAAAATATTCAAGAAAAATCTAAACAACTTTAATTTTCTAAAGGATTAAAGTGAAATGGAGGAAAAAAGCTGGAAAAAAAGAATAAAGAATGATTCATAATAGCAAAACAGAGAACAAACTACCTAATAATTTGGCTTTAAAAAAGGAAACTATTGTCTGCTAAGACAATAAGATCTATAAAGAGAGTGAGGTCAGCACCACATTAGCAGTCACACCTGAGCAGCAGCTGCAAAATGGGAGCAGTAAACAAGAACCTATTACAAGAGTATAGAGCATTACAATATGGTGTCAACATTGTCACACAAGGCTCATACATAAAGTTTTCTCTTTCAGTCAGTATTAGAGCTCATTTATCTAGAAAAGGAGAAGAGAGCAATTAAGTGTACTCTATTAAAAATCCTATCTAAGAGCTTTAATTTAGAAAAAATAGGGCTTCCTCAAGGCAGTAAATACATTTGCCAAATTTGTTTAGATTTGGTTCTGAAAAGATATATAGGGAGAAAGAATTTTGCCTGCAGCCAAGGGATACTGAAAATAGATCTTTAAACTCTCTTATTTGATGCAGGTTTTTCTGTTACATGTTTAAAACCATGCTCTGTTCAGCAGCCTATTTTAGAGCAGCAGTACCAAGCCATTTCAGCTCTGCAGGCCATGAGAGATTTGCATCAAAAATGGATTTGTAGGACTCCCTTTTCTGGTGGTAGGGACCTGTCTTTCTCAGCAGAGTACACCTGCACAGCAGGAAATGTCAGTGCGCATTTTCTATTGCAAATAGATGATTCCTTTAGTTTACAGACAGCAATAACTCAAAAACCACCCACTTGGGCCCGTTAACAGCAAGCCTGGAGATTCCAGCCTTGACCACCCCAAAGCCTAACTTCTCAAATCTTTCATTCCAACCTCAGTCTCCTACTATGTATAAAACAAACCAAAACAAAGAAGACCCTGCAGACATGCTGTCTTAATGATTTTCAGTACTATTTTTCAAGTGGAATAAGGCTTAGTTAGTTGCTTGGACATTAATACCAAGACAACAAATTTAAATACGTGACTACCCATGATTTTTAGAGCTTGTTTTGTGACTTTATCCAGCTACCTCTTTATTGAGTGTCACATTGAAAATATGAAGGTCGGTGTGATCTTCTGACCATTTCTGACTGAACTGAGAATATGGCTAAGATTTTGTTTAAGTCAAAACTCACATTAATAAGAAGGTAGCTTGATGACTCTAATTCAAAACAAATATTTTACAGCACAATTCCAAAAAGATATTTTAAGTCCAATCCCATAATATGTGCACATTTTCTGCAGTTTCTGTTTTCATTTTATCCACATCCAGTCTGATGTTACCACAGAACATTTTCTGGCATAGTATACTACAAATCTCACTTGTATTATATTTACCCTTTGGGCTCAAAGTTTCACAGCACAAAGATGGAATAAATAGAACCCAAAGAAAACTAAATTACATTCTAAATAAGGACGATCCATTAATAAGAAAAAATCCATAACTCACAAAATCAGAATGAAATGTGTCCAGGATTAATGTAGATGTTTTAATGCATCATTTGACTAAAGCAGTGAAGTAGAATGACATATTTGAAGCCATTAAACATTACTGGACCCAGAACAGCCAGAACAATATTTAACCATGATGTAAAGTGAGAAAACAGTAATGAAATTAGAAAACACCAGCTGAATTATAAGACACACTGCTCTAAGCTGTACACTTAGAGGAAAGTACAGAAACCACCTTGACACAATACTCTAAAAGCAGAAAATTAACTTGGCACTTGAAAGATGTTGCAGTAATGTTTGCTGTAACCTGATTACCCAAAACACCAATAAAAGGCAAAGGCCATGGCAGCCTCACCTTCTCTACCTTTTCTAAGTAGCAAACTAAACAAAGGCTTAGCCAAACTCTAGTACTGCAGTGAAGAGCCTGTGGCACTCCATTCCCCATTCCCAGCGGGGGAAACAACCAGTCCACACCCCCAGGTGTTTCCAAATATCATCACAGGGCTGCTCCCACTTTTCTACATAGCTGAAATAAACCTAACCTTTCCAAAAGGAATTGTAGATTGGATATAGAGAACAAAAATGTCACATCTTATCTCAAGAGAAGACACAGAGAGCAGTGGTAGAATATGCAAACTTACCTTATAAAAAAGGTGGAGATCCAGCAACCCAGAACATGTAGTTGGAGAGTAAAGACTGGGCGTGCTGGGTTCAATTTTGCTATTGATCTGGATAGACACCTGGACAAATATTTTGCAATTTACATTGTCATATATAAGGTGGATATGAATTATATGGGTTTCCTGACAGAGACTTAGTGAAAAAGTACATGTTATAAAACTTCATAAAAAAAAGGAAGAATTATGGAAAGTAGATTGAAAACAAAAGCAAACACATGGCTCATTTACACATGCTAGAAATTTATTCTGTGAAGCAATACATCTGGTAGAGAGATTTGTGATTAACGGGGGAGCAGATCTTAAATTCTTCCTGAGAGAAGCATCATTGAAAGGAAATACCTCACTGTAACATCACAAAAATGAAAACACTTGAGCAACTCAAGTCATCCCAAGTATTCTGTTAACACTGAGCCAAAAGAACTTCTGGGCTAAGTCCACCGAAGACGCTTAGTACACCGGGGATAAACTGATGTGCTCTTTATTATAAGGACTTTATTATAGGCCTCTGCCAATATACAAACACAAATTATATGAAGAGTTACAAATAAAATAAAGGAACTGATTAGCTACAATGCATGAAGTTGCCCTATGAACATATCTACAGAGCTCTGTATCTATCATCCTGTCCATGGCCAGACATATCTGGACACATAAAGGCTCATAAAACATGCTTTTAATCTTCTCAGAAGTGTTGTTGATTTTTCTTTTTCTGAATGTTATGAGCTGTTTGTCATATTTTGCTTTTGGAGAGTTATCCTAAACTATCTTGCTGCTCAATCCAAACTCATGTCAGTCACTGGTTTTACTAATTTTTAACTTTTAAAAGGGTGAAAGGGTGTGTGAGTTAAATATAATTATTTTCAGCAATGAGGAACGGTTTCCAACTCTCAAACTTAAATTGCAGCCTTCATACATAGGATGGCACTTACCTTGTGGAAATATAGTGACTATGTTCACACAGGTATACATCACAGATGCACCCTGTTTCCTACCAAGAGTACAATGACAGAACAATATTGGTGAGTACACCAAATAGTGTGTTAGCAGGTGGACACACACAGTCTGTTGGGAAAGCACCAGAATGGCTTTTGCAGTGGGAAATCCTACTCCAAAAGAGTCTTGCAAAACAGTGTGTGGGCAAAAGAGACCCACAGGAACTTCAACACAGACAGACATAGTAGAATAACTCCAGGAAAAACAACCTAAAACATAGCTAAAGAACAATGGACTAGACACAGGAAAGACCGATCATTAATGACATTTCTCTGAAATTATCAGGATCTGGTGGGTTGCGATCAAGATTTCCTGTGAAGGCATGGATAAGGTGAAATTGGAATTTTTATTGAACAAATCCTTGAAGCTAGAAGGAAGCAATACTGAAGGAAGCTATTCAGGACTTTCCAATAGACGGAAGAAGGTAATTTTTGTAAAGCCACAATCTTCTGCAACTTGCTTCCATGCTGGCTGTGGAGCCAGAATGTCATCCTGTCTATAAGAAGCTCTGGCTAACTCACACAGAGAAGTCCATAAATGGAGACTAATGGAACTAGGAAGAGCTGGACCCTAATACAACTGTAGATGCTGAGAAGCTGCAGAATATGGCCAGGTCTAATTGCTCTCTCTCCTCTGTCACACTGACACAGAGTAGGTATCTTAATGAACTACTGATCCAACTGGTATGGAATTACCATCTACTTTTTTAACATCTGTTATGTTTTATCAGATAAATTTTAATGTTTATGAACCATAAATCACTACAGTAATATTTCACTTAAAATTAAACAATTGCTGAGACCTAATGGGTGTCATGTAATAAGGACCTCCTTTTGAAGGTAAAGCTTTTACCTGGGCCAAGAATTTTGTTTTCAGATATTACCAAGTTTATTAACTTGCTAAGAATGGGATTCATCTTGGTTTTCCATTTGGCTGGGCTTGTGAGTCAAGGAACTTGTCATTATTCTGAGATTAATACCTTTGCAGAGCAGGGCAGTCACTTCTCAAATTTCTCTCAGGACAAGATTTTATGGAGTCAGGAAATATGACACCAGAGGCACTATGTGTTAACATGATACTGTGAGCTTTCCCTTACCTATTTTTACATCACAGGCACTGGAAATCATTTAATGTTCAGTTCCAAATTATCAAAACTAAATTCAGTGAAAATAGGAAAAAACAAACCCAACAAGTTCTGGTGACTGATTTTAAGCAGAGGTTAAAAAAAAAATAAAGGTATCAATTCTATTAAGTAGCTGTAGATACACTTTCATGGTGTATCTACATTTACAGATAAAGATTTTTCAGTGTATTTAGGAGTAACTGGAGAGATTAAGTATTTCAGTAGTGACTTATGTTGATTTTCTACATTTATGTTGGAAATTTTAAAGGATTTTTGTACCTTGTACCTTTAAGTCATACCTTCTAAACTGCTCTATTATATCAGATATCTTTTAGCATAGCTATAATGTAAGAGACTGCCAGGATCCAGGACTGCAGAATCACCTCACACTGAGTTAAGATTTTCAGTGACCTGAGGCATTTGGTACAGTGCCTTCTCACAGTACCAGATACAGAAATGTGTTTGACAAACGCAGAGTAATATTTTCAGGACCTGGTTGTAGAAAAGAAAACAGATAGCTTCCATTGCCTGCAAGAGGGACTTGCCTGGGTCTTCCATTCACAGAAAATACAAGTATTTATTTCTTGGATATTTTTCTACCCTTATTAATTTGTTCTCAACATTCTTCTCATTCATGCTTTCAGCATTCTTCAGTGAATTGACAGGAGCATCTGTACAGACAACTTCCACTGAGTGTACCCTACCTGCAAAAGGATACAGTCATGCTAGTCTGAAATTCTTCCTTCCCAAAAAGCCAGATAACAGATCATTAAACGAGATGAAAAGAAAGGCAGTTGTTATAAATGCCTATCTTCTTAATATATTTATAGCTTAACACCTAAAGGTCAAAAAAGATAGACAAATAACAAGGCCCTATTATCAAAATCATGCCATCATATTAAATAGTGATAATAAATACGAATAAATTCTCAATTTCAGGGGGATGGGTTATTTAATAAATAAATACATACTTATGAAAATATATCCCACCCCATTTCAAATTAACTAAAATTAACTCAATTAAATATTGCTCTGGTTCACTTTTTTGTTATCTCTTTTAATCTAAACCTTTTACATGTTAAAACTGTATCTTTGTTTTAGAGCAAGGTGGCAATTTTGTTAACAAATACAGGCCTAGTGCTTAGAAAGCTGTTAAAAAAAAAAAAAAAAGGATTACTTCGGCTAAAGATCAAACATATGCGTAGAATCACGAAATCAATTCACCACCGAGACTGAAATCTTGGGGCAACCCAAAGGCGTGGGAAAAGCAGGTAACACAGCTCCCTTTCGGTAGCTGCAGCCCAGGGACAGTGCCCGCGTTAACAGGGGGGCTCCATGAGGAGCCCCACAGGCCCGCACCGCAGAGCAGCGCGCCCACCTCTCGGCCTGTTGGGCAGCTATCGCGGCGAGCCGGCCGGGAGCCAGCCCGCAGCACCGGCTGGAAGGCCGCAGAGGCCCGCGGGGCTGCGCTGCGGGGCTCCTTTGGGCTGGAGCAGGAGGGGCCGAGGGATGCGGGACCCACCTTGGGCATCCGGATGTGCTCCATGGCGGCAGCGCCTGGCCGAGCTCCTCATGCACAGCCCTGCGCACCTGGCCTCTCTGCCGCTTCCTCCGGCCCTGCTGCTAAAGAGAATTTTT